GCCACAGTGTGCAAAGGATTATATCCAAGACCTCTGTTAGCAGTCACTGAATGCAGCACAAGTGATGGACAGAGCTGGCTAGGAATTAAGTTGCTGTTTTGTGAGAAATTCTGGAGTTGCAGAGGATTTCTTTGTAAATGGAGCAGGAACAAATAAAGCGATAATAATTTCCAGGAAAAACATAAAAAGAAAAGGAAATTAGGGTCATACCAAAGGCTTAACAGAATCAAAATCTTTGATTCTAATTTCAGCTTTTAAAAAATTCTTTATAATAAATGTCAGCATATAAAGGAATTAAAAGCCATAATATTGAAACAGAAAATCAAAATCTTCTTTTTCAGAAATGACATGCTAAAGCTCTCTCTTCTTCCTTGGATGGTTAATTTTTCTATGCATCAGGCTTCAGTTCTTGCAGCCTATTTCCTTGCTGGTCTACTGCTATCTCAGGTGGCCCAAGAACAGGCTTCTCGCTCAGATGCTGCTCATGCCACAGCTGTTGAACAGGGCAGCGCACAGCTGTGGCAATGACTGCTGTTTTGAGCAACATTCACCACTGTCAAGATAGAGCAGACAGGAGAGGAGGTGACACCAGTGTCCCAGGGACCTGCCCCAAATGGTACTCTTCTCACAGGAGCATGCCTGGGTGACTAGAGGCTCTCCTTCAGCCCTAGTGTGAAGGAGAAAAGGAAGAGCAGGGCTGGTGAAGATCAGGAGGTGGATCTGCTTACTGTTCCCTTGGGCAGAGGACCACAGGTGCTGGGCAGTCCCTCCAATGGATGGGAAAGAGAATTCCTCCCCTCCAGCACAGGGGGAAAGATCTGGGGCTAACAGACATCCCCTGTATGACCTCGTTATGATGTGGGGCTTACAAGTGTAATTCTCTGTCAATATCTGAATACAAAGAGGTGGAAGGATTTTCCCCAGTCATGCAGCTAATGGCCATCAGACCTGGCATAGAAACAAATTCCCATCTGAAGCAACAAAACCCATATTTTTTCCTAGAACATGCTGTGAGGCAGAGCCTACGGTATGACATTCTATAGGTGACATTAACTGTGCTGATTGACATATACTGTAAAGCTTACGTAAGACCAATAAGATGAGTTTGGAGGCCTGGTCTTGCCTTGCCTGCAATGCCAGCAGGACACTGACATGTTGCCACTGACAGGCGGCAGTCCTGCAAACCAAGCTTTTCAGAAGCAAGTCTATTGAAGTTTTACAGAAAAGCACCTTAATTTTCAGGTGCCACAGCACTAGCAGGCAAGGTGGTGACATGCTGGAATATGCTCTGTGTGTATATTTTTTTCTCTGTGTGTGTGTGCTGGTGGGCTAGCACCAGTGTGAAGCAAATGTCTTTTGAAAGACGTGGTGCCGGAGGGGACATGCACAGCATCCCAAGGCAGCCTCAGCGAGACATCTGACTGATTAGATATTGAGGTCAGGTGCTGAGATACCAAGGTTGTGCCACGTCCTGCTTTCCTCATCCAGCTGGGCCCCGATAAAATAGCAGCTGGTAAGACCACCAATCAGATAAGGTGGCAATTTTCGACAGCCTCAAATTATTGTTGCAGCAAGGGAGGTCCAGATAAGATCAATCAGACTCCGGAACAATTTGGCCATTCTGGTTTTTCTTTCCCTCTCCTTTTTCTTTTTCCCTTTCTTCTTTTTGAAGACACAGCCTGTCTTGTGAATGTGAACACAGGAAGCACTTACACAGTTCCTCACCGTTCTCAGAACAAATCGTGAGGGTTGATTTATGGCCTGGATTAGTGAGAAACAGTAATTCTTTGCTCTTTATGATGTTTTGTCGGAAGGTGCAGTACCCTCCAGTCAGAACAGCAGGACTGCAATGAGGTTTTTGCAAAAGGGGGGAAAGAAGGGGGGGATGTCTGAGTACAGCAGCACCTCTAACACAGGAGTTAATAAGACACCAGCACATTAATCATGTGACAGGTATTGAGTCTAACAGGGCAAGGCAATAGTTTTTAAAAACAGCCAGTAAAGTTACTGCCTGGTGGAAAAAGGCTGACTGAATGCCACAGCTTTTATGCCACTATTTGCAATTAAAGTTGGGTTTGTTTTTTTTTCTTTATTGGTTTTCCTTCCCCCCCCCCCCCCCCCTTTTGGAAGTTTTGAAATGCCTTTTTGCATCTGTTAAAAAATCAGAGACAAATCATGCAGGGCTGTAACAGAGGGCTGCACAGTTTCTTTCCTCTTGACCCATCGTGACTCAGGCTGTACCTCAGGCATTCACACTCTCCTGCACAGTGACCCTAAATGCTAGACACAGCTGAATGACCACTGAGAGTCACAGTACAGAAGAGAGACACCAGTGCTTTGATACAGCTGGGGTATATTCCTGATCAAAAGAGACTTGATTCTCAGCTGCAGCCTAGAAATGTGGCTCCCCTCTTTCGTGCAACTCTCCAGGCAGCTTTATTGTACCAGACCATGTACGCCTCAGCCTCTTTTATCACCACCAACCTGATTAGAATTGGCAAAGTCAAAGGGGAGGAAGAGTTGGGGTAATCTGATGCACCACTAAAGATGAGTCCCATACATCCTTGGTGTCCTTTATTTAAAGGAACTGCAGTCACTTTAATCTCACGGTTACTGATGTTAAAGTACAACTTACTTTTCATTGATAACAACCTGTTCATTATCAGAAACACTATAAAACACAAAGAGAACATGACTAAATGAATTATTCCTATGATTTTGTAGGCTCCCCGCATGTGCACATCCCCTGCCTTTGAGCCTTTGTCAAACACTGCTTGCCATGACAAATAGGGAGCACTGGCAAGACCAAAGCAGGCAGAGTAGTCTTATATGACTAGGTAAAGTTTTGTCTTGCTTCCCATATGACAAATAAAGATTTCTAGGACCTGTCTCTTGGACACTACTGTGTGATGAAATAGGCCCTTGAAGTGGAATGCAGATGTCACCATTGAAAAATAATCATAAGAATTGCCTTCCCAGAGGACGTCAAAAGTCCATCTTGCTCATTAATCAGTCCTTAACAGTGATCAAAGACTGATGTTTCCAGGGAAGGTAAAAAAATAATTGTAACAAACAGAGAGAAAACACACCTTGCTCTGATCTGGTGCTATGGGAAAAATATGTTGTCTTAACTCTGGGTTAATCATCAGCAAATGCCAAGCAACAAAAGGTGAGCAGCATAATTATGTGGCTCTGCTGCTGAGAATCATAAAATGGAGTTTCATGGTCATTGCTGGCAGTGACTACAGTAAGTACAGCTTCCAGGGGGTGGCTACATGTGCAAGATGTAGCACATAAATTTTGGGGTAGATAATGCAGGTAAGACAGCTGATTTGCCTGAGAACCACGAGTTACAGGAGGGGTTGTGGTCTGGTCCTAGGAGCTTCCTTTATTCCAGTGGGTATAATGACTGGTGCAACACAGTACAGCTTTTTTTGAGCTGATATATATGAGCATTGCTCCACTGGAGTAAAGGAAACCATAGTGATTCTCAGCAGCTAAAGACCTGAAAGACACTTTTCAGATGTTTTGTTTTGCCTTTTAAAGGTTGCATATTACATTTGGAGTTGCGCTTGGTTTTACAGACTCAAGAAGACATTTGGCAGTAACAGTGCTGAGTAATGGCTGCATGGATTTCATGATGCTAATCAGATTATTTTTTCCCTTGTTTTGCTTTTTAGATAATTTTTGTGCTAAAGAGTTGTGCTGAGACTAGGAAAGTTGTGCCTAGGAAATAATTTCTCCACCAAGTTCTGATATATTTGTCTGGAAAATAATTCTAAATTTACTTTATGTTCTCCCAGCTGTTTCCTCTCTGCAGTTTTTCTTCACCTTATAGCATCAGAATATACTGCAGGTTACAAGGTAACTGAAGGAGACACTGAGCTAGTTTTAACTGATTGGTGGTTTGAAATAACACTGATGCAGATATATTTCTTCTGGTATCTAAGCCAGTTTAAAGCAGTTGGCTACCTCTACTTCACACTGCTGTCTAGGGTGTAAATCTATGCTTCCAACCCTTGGTCAATTGCAGAAAATACTGATAAACATTCTCACACTTTGATATTTGTTTCTCAGTGAAAAATCCCTCCCTAAGTAGACTACGGTGTAATTTCACTTGTAGCTGGCTTAATACAAATATAACTCATGCAGTGATGTTTGCCACCCACCTCTGTCTCTGCAGAGCTCTATGGGCAAATCAAGGGACACTCCAGTTCATGAGAGCAGCATGGTGGGCTGATACTGGTGCTGCCAGCCTGCCCACCCATTCCTAGCCCAAGAAAATTCCTGGCCCATTGAACTTACTGACAGAACTCCCATTGGTGATTTCTTGGACAAAATATGTCTTTCAGCATGTACTCAGAGTGCACAAAGATGGAGAATGCCTGTTTTCTCTCCCAGAAACAAGTGGACTTGGCAGCCAGACTGTCACTTTGAGTGTTGGTGCTAAACAAATGCCTTCTCTCAGTCATCTTCTCACTCTTGCCTAACATAGCTCCTTTTTCACTGTGTTGTTCTGAGCATATGATACAATTATCAACATCAAGAAAGGTTTTGCTTCTTTTCTCCACACTTGGCATTTGGATTATGTTTGGTTTTGGGTGTTTTTTTCCCCAACACATACAGAAACACAGGGAAGCAAGAAGCTGTCTTACAACTGCCAGAGCACAGATAACTTGTGAAGGGTTTAAGCCCACCTAACCCCTACCCAGATTCCATCTCACCTAGAAGCCCTATCTGCAGTCCAGCCCACTGACTTCCTGGGAGTTCTTTCCCTGCAAATGCTTGGAAGCATTAGAAAATTTCCTGATTAGCCTGAATGTGTTCTGGTGGCTCCATTTTAGTTGCTTGGAAGCAGGTGCTCTGGTGCAACAGGCAGTTTTCCCTGAGCCAGTGCTGGGGTGCAGTCAAAGCAGAGATGGGCAGACAACTCACCTCCACCTCCTTCCCTGGGGTGTTTGTGAGGTTTCCTGAGGGACTGTGCTGTGACACCATATAGGAAGGCACATCCCCACTGCTTCAGGACTGATCCCAAGGGCAGCAAACGCATAGCAGCTCCTACTCCTTCAGTCTCTTCTCTATGGCAAAGGAATGTTTGTGGTTTAAATCTCAGGAATATCTAGAGTCTTATATAGTCAGTGTAGACTGAAGGGGTGTTTGAGTTACATGGATAAATCACCCTCTGGAGACCTGCGAAGGTATCTACTTATTTGCACTTGCTAGAAAATGTAGGAATCATCTGGCATCAGAAACTTCATTTTTTCCAAGGCAGCACCTAAATAGGACACTCCAAGTAGATAGGCTGGCTTCTGCTTTTGGTTAGTAGAATGGTCTTGAAATCTTCTAGCAACAAAAGCCACTTTGTCTTTTGTCATTCTCAGTTCTTTGAAAACTGCCTCAAACTTTCTTTTCGTAATTGCTATGCAAACATTTTTGATGTCTGTGCAAAAACATCTGGAAGCTTACAGTGGCATCTGGATATAAATATTAAAATATCAACAAAAACCTGATGTGAATTAGCCATGTGGATAGCCATAAAAACCACAACTACAAAAACCTGCTCCAAGTCTCCGCCTGTGAAAAGTAGATGCCTTCTCACGCTTTTTTTAGTGTGTTTATGAACTCATATTCAGAAAGGGAGCAGTTGGGTTTCGTTTCATTTTGAGCAGTCTTAATCAGACTAGAAATTCCCTGGCCTGATTGAATGGGTAGGAGCTCTCTGACAAGTTTTTTGTGTTCTCTGTGAAAGTTTTGATTCTGTTTGTGAAACATGTGCTTGCAAGGCTCCTCCTCCTGCCAGACATGGCCTGGATTCCCACTGAATTCTTACTGTGGAATGCAGTGCCATGGGCAGAGCTATTTGAGAGTAATTGCCATGGGCAGGGGCCCTGTGTTATGAGAACAGCAGTTTTAGTGTACTCAGGTCTTGCTATAGCATTCCCAGTAGGGAGATGTGCTGTGAGGAAAGAAACATGACTCTAAGATCTATCTCATAAAGGGCAGATGAAGGAAAACAGTAGCCCCCATCCAACTCTCACAATGTCAAAAAAACCCAAGCTAAAATGGCTATTTATGGAGTCTAGTCCCATGACTTTTGAGCCCCTGAGGTTGGCTGCATTGTGAGTCACTTGTTCAGAAGTGGCAAGGACATGAAGACAACTAAATCTCTCTGCCTTTTAATGAGTATCTGCAGTGTAGATAATCAAAGGGTTTAGAAGCTGACTGGAGTCAAGCATGTAAATGGGTTTGATAACCCAGGTCTTATTACCTTGATTTTCTTCTGGTAAAAACAGAAATAATAGCTTTCCCCCTCCAGAAGTGAATACATGAATGACTGAGCAGTGCCAGCATAGTAGAGATCCTTCACATTTTCCAACTATAAAACAGTTCAGTGGATATGTATTAACTAAGCAGTGCTGGATCTTCTAAGAGCCATCATTTGCTCTCACCGCATCTTTTTCTCATTCTTGCTGTTTTCTTACTGGTCTCTTAGCTCTGTTTGCTCTGTCACGGCAGACTTCAGTGCTACGTGGGCCATTTCCCGAGGTAAGCAGCTCCAGAGAGGAGCCTTCAGCACCGGAGCGACGGCAAACAGGAGCCTCAGTTCTGAGAGCCCAGAGCCACCACAGGAGCCTCGAGCCGCGCCTAGACCTTGCCCGGGAGCCGGCAGCTCCGCTGAGGCGAGCAGGGACTCACAGGGGGCGGTCTGGCACCGCCCTTAGCAGGGAAAACCCGCCCTAGGGAGCGCTGGAACAGGGCGGGCAGCTGGCCGCGAGGATGATCAGGGGCCTGGAGCACCTCCCTGATGAAGATAGGCTGAGAAAGTTAGGAGTGTTCAGCCTGGAGAAGAGAAGGCTGCGTGGAGACCTCATAGCAGCCTTCCAGTATCTGAAGGGGGTCTATAGGGATGCTGGGGATGGACTCTTCATTAGGGACTGTAGTGATAGGACAAGTGGTAACAGGTTCAAACTTAAACAGGGGAAGTTTAGACTGGATATAAGGAGAAAATTCTTTCCTGTTAGGGTGGTGAGGCACTGGAATAGGTTGCCCAGGGAAGCTGTGAATGCTCCATCCCTGTCAGTGTTCAAGGCCAGGTTGGACTGAGCCTTGGGTGGCATGGTTTAGTGTGAGGTGTTCCTGCCCATGGCAGGGGGGTTGGAACTAGATAATCTTAAGGTCTGTTCCAACCCTAACCATTCTATGATGATTCTATTCACTTCATTCTCAGGAGTGGTCTACTGCAAGTCATATATATCCCACTACCTGAGCTGGACTGCTTTTGGAGTTGGAATTGGTTTTATAAAGGTATTTTTGTTTCTTTATTTTCTGAAGGCATACATAGTATTTCATGATGGAAACAGAAACGCTGTAAATGGCCACTGCCCCCTTCAGTTGGTAACCCGCTGGGATATTCTGGATAGGACCAACTGCAAGGTGAACAAATTGCTCTGAAAGACTCTCAAGAATGGAAACACACAGATGTTTGTATTTGATTTCTACCCTAATATTTGGCGAGGACTCTATAATTTAAATAAAAGGGCTCATTTTTCCCCAATTTAATCTCTTTTAAACAGTGTGGGAGTTATAAACATTATAATAATTTTACCACTTTCATATTTAAAAATATGCCCTCTAAGCATTTACATTCAAGATTTGTTTTTCTTCAGATGTGTAAATAACACATAGCAATTTGCATCTCATGCATAAATCTTTCTCCTGTTGAATGCAAATTAAAAAATAACAATACTCCAGCCCCCAACCCCTTTCATTTTCCTTTTTGCCACCTCCTCATATTTATGGCAAGTTAGCTGGGTAATTCTTCCAAGGAAAATTTTTGGGATTTTATGTGTATTTTAAAAACTATCTGACTGAAGTTTTCTTCCGCTGAGTAACAAGAAGCCTAGAGCTGATTAATAGTGTTTCCTTTCCCAGTCCTAATGAACATTATTTCAGGTTTTATGCATCCCAGATGAACCTATTTTAAATAGTATGTGCGTATGCATGCATGAGTGTTGCTCTTTCTTGAGATTTATCCCAAATGAATTTAGTTTCTCTGTAACTTGTAGGACAATATCAACGCTGGCTTAATCAATTTCAATTTGCTGTTAAACCAGAAATGAAGCATTTATCAGGATGAGCCAGGAAGGGCTGAATGGACACTTCATGTTGCTGAGTACTCTGCGTGAAATTTGCTCAAGGAAGTTGCTGGAGCTCCACATTTACAAGAAGCTCTTCTCTGGCTTGCACTTCACACTTTGTCTGGATACTCCCTCAGAGTGTTTTTACTCTACAGGTTTCCTGTGCTGGCAGCTTCTGTGCCTACTGATCAGTATCATGGGTCTCAACCCACTAAAAATACCTTCTTTGGAAAGTCTTGCTGCCTTCATAAAAATGCAACCAAAATATCTCATTGAATCATCTTCCTCAGCTCAGACCGGCTCTGCTATTTATGTCTGTAGAGTCGCTTCTGTCTCCCCGGCTGCTTCACACCAAGAGCCAGAGCCAGCTCGGGCAGACATGCCATGGTGCCAGCAGCAGCAGTGGGAGCTCTCTGGATGGGTGAGAGCCTTCTGCTCTTGTGATGAGCCCTAGCCCTGGGCTGGTGGTGATATGGGGTGGTGCGAACTCCCCAGCTCCTGGAGGCAAGTGTTGCTTTAGTGATCAGCTCTGAATGCCATGGCAAGTGGTGGGTGAGCATTTCTTCCGCTGCCACCTGATCACAGCGATGCTAATTTTAAAGTGGTGGGGAAGAGCAGGGAGGTGATAGCAGGATGGTCCCAGCTGTTCTTCCTAGGTAGGCGAGCAGCACTTCTATTTGGGAAGGCAGGAACTCCCATTTCACTGCACAGGCTGGAGGACTGGGGAGAAGAGAGGAAACTTTCCATAGATTCCTGTTTCACTTCAGAGAAGTGTTTTCAAAGACTCATCCTCTCTTCCCCTCCTTCAGGTTATATTTAATTTTAAGCTCTCTTGGTTGCTGCATTGATAGCTCTTTACCATTTCCACAACAATTAATCAGCGCAAGGTTGATTATACGTTTGTCTCTGATTGTATAAATCTTCTACTTCCATCTGAAAAAGAGACCTTTGCTGCCTGGGCACCCTACTTCCCACCCCATCCCACCCCATCCCATTCCTCCAGCATGGCCAGATAGCCAAGTATGGCTGGATTAATGTGGGGGCTGTTGCTGCTGTGCTGAAATGGTGTGAAGGAGGGATGAGGTGAAGGATGAGGCAAGCATTGTGACTTCGGTGTGAGAAGCTGTGAGATGGATGCAGCCACCATTTTAGGGAGCCTGTTACCTGGTTTTATGCTGCAGTATGAGGGGGAGATGTGAATGGCTGAAGGACTTTCTCCTGCCTGCCCTGAAGCACAGCCAGTCTCATTACTATCAACACCTCTTAAAAAGCTGCTTGAATATTGTATAGGATAGTGCTCGTGTAATATGAACTGAGAAGAAAGAGTAGTTTTGGTTAGAAAAAGCTATTAACGGTCAAGTGAGAGTCCCAAGGAGCTCCAGGTCCCAACTGCTGCTTCTAACAGCTCACGGGCTGCTTCTGTTCCCATTTCACAAGGAGCTGCGAGCATGGGAGTTCGGGAGAAAATCAAAAGGGGTTTGGGCCTTGCCATGGGCCTGTCTGGGTCACCCTGAGGCAGCTAGGCTCTCAGTGACATCAGTGGTCTTTTTGGGAGAGTATGAGCACAGGAACAGCTGTGAGAATGAGTGACATTTTCTGTGCATTTGGAGAGGTTGATCAAAAGAACAAACTGTAATTGTAGGAGTCCCCAGCATAGCCAAGCTATAGCTATTACCTTTGCTGGCTCCTCTGTGTTTGCTCTTTTCCTTGATACTTCACAGCCCATGAATCTGTCTAAAAGATATCTACCATTTTAGAGTAAGGCATGCCTGCAAATCTCAAAGCACTTTAAAACTCCTTATTTAAACTCAGCACTCAGGTGGGAGTGACTGCTTCGCAGGTTTGTAGTGTGAGATGGGGAAGGGTTAATGTTATTTGCCCAAAGACTTAAGAGGCAAAGCTGAGCAGACAGCAATGTTGAGGAGTTGCAGTTCTTAATATGCCACTCCAAGCAGTTGTTTATAATCCCTTCTTTTAAGTTAGTAGCAAATGATAATCCACAATATTGCCTCTTAGAAAAACAAGTGCAGTACTGCTCTCCAAAGCAACCCAGGCCAGAA